GTATTTCATTACAAAGATATATTCTTTTGTAGCTGGATCTTGTGTTAATCCATAAATTTTATTTATAAATGATTCACCATGAAATGTAACATAATTTCTAAACTATATAAAAAATATATATTAAATTTCAGAATAATATTTAAAAACCTGAAATTAATAGAAAAATAAAATAATTTACCTCATTAAGAAATTCATCAAAAATATTCTGTGAATTATGTAGTTTTTTAATGCCACAGTCCTCCTATCTTTACTATATATCTTATTTCTATAAGTATATTTCTCACCATTTAACCAAGTAGCTTTGGATATAGTTGCAAAACCACCTTCATCTATCTTTTCAATATTTGTTAAATCATTATAAGGAATCCATTGAAGATAATAATCATTACTATATCCTATTGCTTTAAGTTGTGTACCTTTAATCAATTCATCTAATGTTTCATTGCCACTAGTCCATCCTTTAGTTAATAACTTTGGATCACATGATTGACACCATGAATAATCAGTATTATATCTATTGCATGTTGGACATTCCCCATAATCTTCATATCTTTTTTTTGAATATTCATTGTTTTGAAGACTTCCATCTTCCATGTGATGCATTACAGAGATATATTCTTTTGTGATTGGATCTTGCGTTAATCCATAAATATAAACTTTATCATAAAACTTTTGTACAATTTTCAAGCTAAAATAACAAAATAAAATATTTATTTACAACAATAATATTTAAAAAAACTGAAATAAATAGAAAATTTACCTCATTAAGAAATTCATCAGAAATATTCTGTGAATTATGTAGTTTTTTTAATGCCACAGGCATATCTTTACTAGTTCTTTTACTATTTCCATAATTTACACCTTTTTCACCATTTAACCAAGTAACTTTGGATATAGTTGCAAACTCACCTTCACCTATCTTTTCAATATTTGTTAAATTATTATAAGGAATCCATTGAAGATAATAACTATTGTTATACCCAGTTGCTTTAAGTTGTGTGCTTTTAATCAACTCATCTAATGTTTCATTGCCACTAGTCCATCCTTCAGTTAATAGTTTTGGGTCACATGATTGACACCATAAATAATTAGTATTGTATCTTTTGCATGTTGGACATTCACCATACGTTTTATGTCTAATATATTCATCATCATCATAATCTTGAAGACTTCCATCTTTTATGTATTTCATTACAAAGATATATTCCTTTGTAGCTGGATCTTGTGTTAATCCATAAATTTTATTTATAAAATATTCATAAAATGTAACATAATTTCTGAACTATGTAAAAAAAATGTATTGAATTTCAGAATAATATTAAAAAACCTGAAATTAATATTAATAAAATAATTCACCTTATCAGAAATATTATGTGAATCATGTAATTTTTTTAATGCCACAGTCATATCCTTGCTAGTTCTTTTATTATTATAATTTACACTTTTCTTACCATTTAACCAAGTAGCTTTGGATATAGTTGCAAAACCACCTTCACCTATCTTTTCAATATTTGTTAAATCATTATAAGGAATCCATTGAAGATAATAATCATTATCATATCTTGTTGCTTTAAGTTGTGTACTTTTAATCAATTCATCTAATGTTTCATTGCCACTAGTCCATCCTTCAGTTAATAGCTTTGGATCACATGATCAACACCATGTCCAATAGGTATTATATCTATTGCATGTTGAACACTCCTCATAATATTTATTTCTTTCCTTTGAATATTCATCATTTTTGTCAGTAGAAGTATCGTCATGATCTTTATTTTCATCCAAAATGTTTTCCATTGTGGTTTTTGTATATTTGTAAAAAAAAATTTTTTTTTAAAGAACTTTTTTTTTTTCAGCCACAAATATGTATCACAAAAAATATATTAATTAATATTAAATACTGTATATTTAGATTTATCTAAAAAAAAATTAAATTTTACCTGAACTACAACAATTCAGCATTGACACCCTAAAGTTGTAGGACTGTAATAAATATTGCAAGCATGCGATCAGACTAAATTAAAATCACTAGATACAACTAAATGTTTGATTAAAGTTTCTATTCGAATAATTCGAATAGTTTGAATAAAATGAATAAAACGAATAAACAAATAGTTCGAATAAACGAATGACAACAATTCAAATAATAAAATGAATAATTCAAGCAAAACGAACGATACAATTCGAATGATAAACGAATGATGATAATAATTCGAATAATAAACGAATGATGATAACAATTCGAATGATAAACGAATGATGTCAATTCGAATAATAAAGAATGATAACAATTCGAATAATAAACGAATGATGTCATTTCGAATGATAACAATAAACGAATGGTACAATTCGAATGATAAACGAGTGATGATAAAAATTCGAATAATAAACAAATGATGATAACAATTCGAATAATGATAATAAACAAATGATGTCAATTCGTATGATAAACAAATGATGTCAATTCGAATAATAATAATAATAAACGAATGATGATAACAATTTGAATGATAAACGAATGATGTCAATTCAAATGATAAACGAATGATGTCAATTCGAATAATAATAATAAACGAATGATGTCAATTCGAATAATAGTAATAAATGAATGATGTCAATTCGAATAATAATAATAAACGAATGAAAGCAAAACAATTCGAATAATAAACGAATGATGATCATTCGAATTATAACAATAAACGAATGATGCAATTAGAATGATAAACGAATGATGTCAATTTGAATAATAAACGAATGATGCAATTCGAATAATAAACGAATGATGATAATTCGAATTACAGCAATAAACGAATGATAACAATTCGAATAATAAACGAATGATGATAATTCGAATTATAACAATAAACGAATGATACAATTCGAACAATAAAGAATGATAACAATTCGAATAATAAACGAATGAAAAAACTCGGATAATAAACGAATGATAAAACTCGGATAATAACGAATGATAAAACTCGAATGATAAACGAACGATACAATGCGAATAATAAACGAATGATAACAATTCAAACAAAACAAATGATTTGAATAATTCGAACAAAAATTTTATTACGAATAGAAACTCAACTCATATTGCACAGAGTCACTAAATCTGACACAATAATGTTCAAACTAAACTAAAATATACAACTACACTACTTGAGGTGTCCATACAAGCAATATAGTAAAACTAATAAAAGGGGTCCCTAACTAATAATTAAATGTTGGCCAAACTGTTAATCATCAGAAAGGGTTATGAATCAATCTATCATGCCAGATTATTAATTAATGAAAATGATGTTTTTATTACAAAAGTGTTATTATTGAAAGATAAATTATTATTTAATTTTTTTTCACTAAAGGAAATTTCAAACATATTTATACTTCTTAAATAACATGACTTTTTGTCAGTTAAATGTCAAAAATGTGCCATTGATAATGTCATGATTAAATGATATCTGATGAAATGGTTTTGTCATAATTAATTAAAAATAAAATTTATAAGTGTTGCATAACAAATTAATTATTAAAGTTTTGATCTAACGGATACAGTGCGGATCATCTATACTCAAGTTAAAATTTTTGAAATATTATGTGATCCACACATTTGATTTGAAAAAACCTACCACCATTCAATTCAGCTTTAAAAAGGGAGTCTATTAATCTAAAAAAAAATTTGTCTCAAATTTTCTTTTCATAGA